TTGGGAACAACCATTGAATCGCCATGAGCATTGATTATGTGAAAAGATATTTATAAACTATTACATGATTTCAGTTAAAATATTACACATTTAAATGACTCAAAACAGAAATGTTTACACCATATATTGTTCCATGTTACGTTGTAAGTTCCTTAACATTCTATCAAACATAATTTGCAACGGTATTTACATATATAGTAATATAATATATCAAATATGGACATTTGCATGACATTCAACATTTTGACTAAAATACACAAATAAAGTAAAATGCATGTGTTACGTGTTTTGTTTTGAAATCAAATCGTGTAATAGATATTAACTCTTTCATTCTCTATTAAAACTGTTTTATCGAACATTGTGGATCCTACGCAGAACTAAAAAAGTAAAAAAGTATCTGATTGTTGCTTTCTAGAGATATATTTGACGATGACAATAATAAATAATGCGTTACGTCAAGCTTGTATAAATATCTTATTTATCTGTAAATTTAATTTACCTTAAATATTGTATTATCTCGCTAGACAATGAGTCTCTAAACCAATATTGAAGTAAATCATTCAAAAACTCAAAAAGTTGCAAAAAGGTCTATGTTTGATATAAAGGCTTTTTAAGAAAGCATGTCTATTTTGTACCATTGTGTGAAACCATTCTTATATTCCCTCGCAATGAGAGGCGTTACCAGTTATGATTATTGTCAGTGTGTGACTATTTAATTTGAATACGCGACTAATATTCTTGCACAACATGTTCATTTCAAACTATATTTTAGAAATGTCTCTAAATTACCAAACCATGGCTTGTTCAACGCTTACGTCTATTGATGGGTGTATTTTCCTATCAATCGACATATAAGGTAGAACGCTACTGTCATCAGTAAACATTATTTGATAGATTTCTGCTAAAACCCAATGACATGTTCACACACTCAAACCATTTATAAAGAAGCTAAATTAAACACAAATAATTATGTCAGATATTTACTATATCATTCCAAGTTGCCAAAATGAATTTTACTTAATTTATTCTCAGTCAGAATGAAAGTTGTCTACATTTTTAATATTATCTTTTGCGTACATATTAAGTTTTAATATTTTGGGTTTATTGTTCAACAAATTTTCATTTTGGCAGATAGGTCTTACCTTTTAAGTGAAATGTAGAATATATTGCATTAAATGTTATGTTATACAAATACTTTACCAGATATGACATGTTAAAAAAGATTGTGCCAGAAGTTTTATGCCAAATGGTTTTGGATATTTTCAGTATTTTTATATTCACAAGATTTCGTCGTTTGTAATCTGAATTAAGAACATTGAAATGATTAAACAAGTGGTAGGCGTACGATTTACAAATCGAACAATTTCTTTCCGAATATTCCTTGGCTATCATTTTCTGTTCTTATCAAATAAAAATCTTGTTCTAAACTTTACCATCTTTATTATATTTTTTACTGCCAATTATCACAAAAATCATGTCTGCTTATGGTTAAAAAGATAAAATAAATTTTGTCATCTAATGGCTAAACCAATCACGTGTAAATTCAGACATTAAAAATACGATTCTTATATTTCTGTCCATTCGTGTGTGAGCTAAATATCACGCTATTTAATGATTGATGATATGTATTTGGTATAAGCAAATAATTTACTCTGACTTGATTTCACAATCTGTAAATGGCCTATCAAAGAATTTATCATACATTTTATTACGGATGGCCAAAAACTCAACACATATATGTATCTTATTTTCTTTTTTTCAGAATAAGGCATAAACATTTAAAACAATCTGTTATACAAAAAATTTAAAAGCATTTTGGAAATAAACTATTTTGTCTTGGTTTAAAATACACACGTCACATGTGACTTAGAAACATATATAATAAAAAATGAGATAGTAGCTGGTCGTAAAATTATTTTGAGATCATTCTACATTCAAAACGGTGCCTTAAGTTATTTGTATTAATATATATTTAAAAGTAGGACATGCATATTTTTATGAGTATATGCTTTTTAAGAAAGAGAATACATTGGCATCATGGGAGTACTCAAAAAAGACATAAAGTGATGAAACGTGTGTTACTTAATACAGTGATAATGTATTCTTTATGAATTTCATTGAACAAATTAACTTGATATTTGCATATGAAGTTTTGCCTAGGGACCAATCAATAAACCGCCACAAGAATAATATATTACTCATTATATTATTCAAAACTTCAAAATGTTTCACATTCATGTTGCAATACTTATTTCTCTGACTTTGCATCGAATCAGAATGTTGCTTTCTAGATAAATTTGACGGTAACAATAATAAATAATGCGTTGCATTAAGCTTGTATAAATATCTCTACTACTTTCGCTTGCCTGCAAGTATTATTTACCCTAAACAGTGTGTTATCTCACTAGACAAGCGGTCTCTAAAAACAATATAAGATATAAGTAAATCATTCAATAGTTCAAAGAAACATTATATACTTATATTTTAATACGACAGCTTTTGAACAGTTCATGCTTATTTGTGACCATTGTGTTAAACATTCCTATATTTCCTCGCAAAGAGAGACATTAACTGTTATAATAACCGTTTCTTATTTGAAAATAATGTCAGTATAATTTTTCTCAGTGAATACAAATATTTCAAAATATATTTTTTTAAATCTTCTCTAAATATCTTGATTGACACTGATGAACACTAATGAAGCGAATTCTTAAAGGCAAATAAGGCTTCAAGATTCATTCATTTTAATTCTATAGAAATATAAAACATGTGTTTTATAATGTTTTAATAATAGATTTAGAGCATATTAAATGTTAAACAAATGGTCGGGTGCGATTCTTTTTTCGAGCTACTCATATTTAAAAAAAATGTTTAAGTGAAATTTCTTTTATACCACGTGTTTCATATTTTTTTTGGCTTACAGAATGTACTATCTTTTTTATCATATTATAATTATGATACAGTATCTAACTTTAATTGTGAATACTATTCATAAACTTTTTTTGTGATTTGTGACATAAAAATATTGTGCTAGAAACATTATAATATTTTCGGTTATTTTTTGTTCACAGGAATGTTTGAATTAGATTTTTGAGAAAACAAGGGCTCAGACGTGTTTCACTTGCAAATAGGACAATATTTTCTGAATGTTCGTTGGCTATCATATTTGATAGTTCTTATCAAATCAGAATGATGTATACACTTTCTCTTCAAACAACTGCCGTCTTTATTCTTTTATTTATTGCATATTATGACGCCAAATCATGTCTGCTTATGGTTAAAAATATCGTTTGTGTCATCCAAATAGAAACATGAAACAATTTTTGTTTTCTATTATTTCTTGGTATTTTGGCTATGAAATTCATCAATACTAGCAGGGGGCAACATTCTTCTATTTCATAATTTCGCGTTCTACCCGAATTTAATGAAAATGCATTATGACATGTCTTTGGGTAATAAAAGATAAGAAATGTTCACTTTATTTTTTGTTTATTTTTTTTAAAGTCATATAACAATATGAGGCATAGATTCTTAATACATTGATAAACAAATTAAAATGTGTTTGTTTTAGGTAATTGTCTTCATATGTCTTAATATTTTACATTTCTAACAATATATTTTCGTTTATGGCTGACATTACTTTTAAGGTAATGTTTCTATGACCATAAACACCATTTTTGTTGAGGACAGAAAATTGAATAGTGCCTTTTTTGTTTAAAATTTAAGTAGATTTAATTACACAGATTATTAATCTCAGATTTGTCTTTGTATACGGATATAACATTTGTTGAAGAACATTTGTCTTTGAAAAAACGTCAATGTGGGTAATACATGCTTCTGATAGCGTTTAATTACTATCCCATTTTTGTACATTTATATTTCGTAATTTACTTTTGAAACACTTATAAATTGTCATTTAACTTGTCAAAAATATTACTAACGTAATGTATTTTGGCAATCCACATATTCTATGTCTAGTCCTTTATTTAAGAAATAAATACTAAAACCAAATTGGAAAATAAAGGTTTTAATATTCCAAAGAAAATAATATGTTCGGAATACCAAATAAGTATAAATGCCTTTCATATATTTAAGATATATTTCTAATCTTAATTTCAATACGCAATTTTTGAGAACTATTAAACTTTCGTCTACCTAACCTACCTAGATTTCCTGTAAAACGTGTACAAAAACTACCAAACGTAAATAGATTTAAGGCTATATATGTATAAGATCTACATAACTTATCTTAGATTGGAAGGTATGCATGTACAAAGCTAATTGTGTACAATGACTTCCTAATTTACCTTGATTGCTTGCAATATAAAAAAAGAACCCGGAAACTTTTTGTTAAAGAGCTGGCTAACTTTCAGACTATAGTGTATATGTATGTGCACTAAAATAGCCAAACTTTTTCAGATTGGAACAGCCGAACATGCATTGGCTGAAGGTTATATGTTATACAATCGCTATGTATGTGCAATAACTACAGATTAATTAATTTTAATTAGATCGAAGCTTTATGTGTATATGAAATACGTAGTGTAGACAGTAGAATACAAGAACAACCAAACTTACAAAGATCTGATGCTGTATGGGTACATGATCTACGTAATTTAGTTACAGTGTAGCCAGTATGAATAAATACAAAAAGCAACCAAACTTGCCTGGATTGGAGAATATATGTGTACATAAACTATGTACCTTTACTAGAGTGTAGCCAGTTTGAATAAATACAAGAACCACAAAACTTGCCTAGATTGGAGGCTATATGTGTACATAAACTACGTACCTTTACTAGAGTGTAGCAAGTATAAATAAATACAAGAAGAATCAAACTTGCCTAGATTGGAGACTATTTGTGTACATGTACTAAGTCCCTTTTACTAGAGTTTGCCAGTATAAATAAATAAAAGGGAAAACCACACTTGCCTAGATTGGAGACTTTATGTGTACATTAACTACGTAACTTAGTTAGAGTAAAGGTAGTATAGACTTACCTAGACTGAAGGCTGTATGCGTAACCCTCTGTTTCAACTGAATACAGACAAATGTAGTCGCCAACACAAAGATACTCTCCAAGGTTGGTTGTGTTTAACATCATCATCTTGTATCGTTATAAGTCAGACCTCGTAAGGCCTTCTACAATAAAAAAATGCATAAATAGTTATTCTGATTAATTACTAAAACCAAATATTTGAACATACTGTATACTATGCACATCTTTAAATAATTTTATTGCAGAAGTTATCGAAATGTATGAAAGTCTTTCTAAATATGTAATATCTAAAAAAAAACAGAATGCAAAAACTATGTTTGGGAAACTGCCTTTACTTTAACTGGTTATTTTATTTGGTCTTTTTCTAAAAAAGTTGCCTGTTTTTATTGATACTCAAAAAAGTCTGTATTCATATTGTATAAACCTACAGTGTGTAGAGTTTGAAACGTAACATATCTTTATGTATATATTCATAGGAGGTTTATATTATATTTAAAAGGAGAGTGTATATCAATTATAAGTATTTTTTTATAAAAAAAAATTGAGCATAATATATCTATAAACAGACGCTAAATGAAGTCATCTTCCCATCTTTTCTTCAGTTGCCAACAATTTCCATTCTTTATTTGATTTCGGGTTGTCTTCATGATTTTTTTTATCAAATCTAATTTTCCTATCAATACTTCATAGATAGTTCATGTAATTATTTGGCTTAGACTAAACTTCATTGCCATCTGTAGACAACATAAGGTCAAATATACGCAAATGATTCAGTTCGGCATAATACATTTTTATACGTATGATACCTATATATAGTGGTTTTACGAAATAATACAGGGCATATTTCCAAGAAGTCAATACATTTACATGATTTCAGAGACAAATAAATGCCTATTCAAGCTGTAATATAAAAGCATGTCTATACAAGTCTTTTTTACAATACAAAGTTAGTTCTGAGAATTCCCCTTGGTGTATTATCTTAAAATGTTAGGACGGTTCATTCTAAATGCCTTTATAATATAAGATAATTTGATTTAATGGCTATGCTATGAGTGATATTATTTAGGTTTAGGATTTTGTAAAAACACATCTCATATTTATAAAACTGAAATGGAAATTCAAAAGCGTGTATATTGACAACAAAATAAAGCAAAATAACAACAACAACAACAACAACAATAATAATAATAATAATAAACATGTTCATATTCTACAGTAACTGTAGTGTTTCTAATTTCTGAATGTATCACATGATCAGCTAAATAAATATTTATAAATATTGAGATTAAATACCAAGTAAAGGAAAACATTTTTAACTTCAATATTGAACAATGTCTCTTTCACAAGAGAAACATGTTCTTTGTGACTTAAAAAGGAATTTAAATGGGATTGTATGGTGTTGCAATATCTATATTTTGTATTGACTTGCCAATAGTATAAGCAACAATGAATTAAAAATATGATAATTCTGAATAACTTAAATAAGTAAAGTGTGTCAAAGGAAAACCTTTAAATAATAAAACGTTAATTAATCAAAATTTAAGAAAAATGGAAAAGAATGAATACAAATATACATGCAGCAGACACGTATTTTTATTATGTAAGGAATAGTGCTTCCACAATTATTTTAATTGTTATCTTACCTTAAACTTAAAAATCAAAACTCCAATTATCTGTTGACCTTTTTCTTTGCTTTTCACACAAAAAACACGAATAAAGTTTAATAATCATATCTAATACATATTCCATCCACTCAAATATTAAAATTCCATTGCGTTGAACACCATGTTACCGTATCCTTTACATGTGCAACAAAGTCGATAAAGTGATGCAAGATTGTGCTGCACCATTTTCTAGAAATAAACAAAACAAGTTTGTAAATTGCACTGTACTATTGTAAGAGATATTGTTTTTATTTTCCGGCAAAAGTCGATATTATGTCATTAAGAATATCTGTCTGACAAATGTTCATATGTGGCTACAACTAATTTCTCGGCCGTTTGTCACTCTGTTTAATCTGTGAGTTGATAACCCTCCAATAACTCTAAAACAACCAATCAAAATGATAGGCTATATTATCCTCATCTGTCAGTCAAAATGTAACATTGGTCTGCTGATTTCTCGCGCCTTAACTGCTACGTCACTCATTTTTATTACACTTGCAAACCGCCAATGTACCGCAATATATACTCTTATTATATCGTATTATATCGCTTGTTGCTCAAAGAACGTTTTAAAAAAATCAGGCTGCCTGCTGAAAACAAAACATGCTATTTCCTATAGGATATTAGGCACGAATGTAAAAAAGATTTATCATTTGGTGTAAGAAAGAGGTCTTGCAACACAAGATGATCAATCCAATACTTCCAAATTGTGACAGGCGAATTATTGCCGCTCTTCGAGGAAAATAAATTCGATGTTTCGGTCAATGTTTTTATTTACCATCTGACAATGGTACCAGTATATAGTTCCTGTTGATAATGTATCATTACGTCAATGAATTCATGGTGGGAAATATATGAGTAAAGTATGAATCTATGTATACTTTATCGGTTTAGATAGTTAGGTATACTATAATAAAAGAAAATGTTTTTGAGTGAAATGATTAAAAGTTTTTATATACATGTATCATCACCATTTTAGTGACTGTTTCTTTAAAATATTATAAAAAAACAAAAACCAGATACGACTGCGTTATTACGTCGTTTTATTTCAAAAGTTCTTGAAAAGTTTAGGTGAAAAAATAAAAAGAAACAAACAAAACAATGCATTACTACAAGTAAACTATAACTTTCTGCTAAATGATGCCATGAAATGCTTTATAATTCATATTGAAAATTGATTGAAAATTCAAAATCAATATTTTCTTATGCCGTAATTCTAATATTCAAACATACAAACACATGTTCAGATTAATGGAATTAAATCTTGATTGTAATGATACAAATGCACTTATTAATGACATTAAATTTTGATTGTTATGACACAAATGTAGCGATTCATGGGATTAAATTCTCAAAATTTTGATGCAAAATTTATGGTTTTAAAAAGATATTGTTTTTACACAAAAATTTTGATTCATGGCATCTATGAACAAAATTTCTGGTTTGTGGTTTAAATTTTTATTTAAGAACAAAAGTAATTTATGGGTGCATTTTTATGCATAAAAATTACTAATTTATGGGAATTTTAATTTTAAATTTTTTGAACTCAACCGCTATAATCCCAAAAAAATATATGGTTTCCCCTAAGACGCCCAAAAATCTTCGAATTTTGTTAATATTAATATCAAAAAATTTACAGTTTAATTTGAAATTATATAAAAATTAACAACTTTTTTATCGTTTTTGGTAAATTTTATTGATATCGCTAAAGACATTAATATGTTTTTCGATTCTTTTTAAAATAATACCTAAACTTTAAAATTTCCCCAAATATTTCTTTAAGCAAATTTAAATGTAATTGATTTAGAAAAGCAATTTCCCTCCCTTACAAAAGAAAAAAACAAATTTTTAAAAACAGGGACAAAATTTATTTTTTTGATCAAATTTTTCAAAGATACTTTATCCAAGAAAAAATTCAAATTTATGGTAGGGGTTTTGGCTTTATTATAGCGACATTTGTTTTTTAATTTTAGAGATTTTCATTTAAAAAAATTTCGTAATGTTTAAAAAAAGTTTTCCCGAAATACATTTTCAGAAATAACTTAAAAAAGGATTTAATTTTTTTTTAATCTATAGCCAATACCGGGAGCGACAGTACACAATAACTTTTGTGGTCCCCCGTGTCCAAATACAACAATACCCTAGGGAAATAAATATGAAAGCCTCTCTCAACTGCAAAAGTGCAATATGCTATGCTTAAAGCTATTTTGTACCTTTGTGTTAATCTTGGTCTGCTGTACATAACCTGTCGACGATGGAAGTTTTAAATATGGTTTGGCTTATTCTTAAACTTTCGATTATCATCCTCATTAATTTCAATAGTCAAGTGTGGAAATAAATCTCACAGGAAATTGACTGATATTAAACAACATATTGTGACTTTGCCTTCCCTATTAAGTGAACATTGTTGAAACAGATCACGGTTGAATAAACTTCTGAAATAAAGGTAATCAATATATAAAAGAGCTGAATAAAAACTCGTGATCACTATTATTTTTCTATCTAAACGTTAACATTAAATCACTCTTTAAGGTAAAATTTGAATCACACCTGAAACCAGACTCGTAAATTGTAAGTCATTTAATGATTTAACACATAAGAATCATGGCCATTAAAAAAGACAACCAACTGCATACTACTTCCATTGTTTAGACACAAAAATGCATTGTTTACCATTCTGATAAAACAGTAACTAAATCAATAATAATGATAATTGTATAATAATTCTATACAAAAACCCATGTCGATTAGGAATCATTGATCCAGTTAAGAAACTAGTTGTAAAAAGTATTTTCTGATTGAATTTTTTGTAAAGTACATGAGCTAGAAAATTTAACTCTTCAATTAGAATTTTAAAATGCAACCATCAGATGTTTGTATATAGAGGTATTATCTCTTTTATAGAATATACCATTTTTAATTGATATCTGAGAAGAAAGAGTATTAAGTCCTATTTCCATCTTCGTTAACTTTATCTTTATTTTGTGAAATATCCTTGTATTCTGTTGTTAAGAGAGGGTAAAAGCGACTAAAGAAATGCTGTAGGCAATTCAGATATTTGAAAATACAGTTGAATCATTATTTTCATATTTTGAAACGAAAACTACAAGAAATATTAATTATTATAATAATTATAAAATTAGTTTTTAATAAGCACTTCACTACTATTAGTAGATATTATACATAAAACAAGGAAAGAAGGAAAGCAAACGTCTGTAGTGGAAGATATTAAAAATAAAAATATCCTCCATTTTTCCAGTAATAATGTATTTCTGGCAGTCAATTCAAGCGTTATTTTTATATGTTAAATAGTTTATGTTCGTTAGTAAAGATCGATTTACAGATTTCATCAAAGTTCAAGCTATAAACTTGCTGTACTGAATAAGTTAAGTATCATTTTCAATTTATTAGTAACATGTAGAGTAAAGATAAAAACCATTGCACTTTATGGATTGCATATTCCATATATTATAACAATACATTTGAAC